ATGTTTCTCTGCGTGTCTCCATCCCCACTGCAACGAGTGCCCGCTGACGCAGATCTACAGATAATTTTAATGTATTGAGGGAGATCAGACAAGCCTGATAATGCTGATAAGGACACGGTGCGAGACGTGCACACGAGCCCCCTCCTGTAACCCACAGCTCCGTGGCAGCACTGAGGGTTTTGCTCAGCGGGCGGGTGATGGCGGAAATCCCGAGGAGGTCGGGGCTCCCCGCGGAGCTCCGTGGGGAAGGACCATCCCCTGGCGGGGACGAGCACAGGGACCCGCTGAGCCCACCGGGTCCCCTCCCAGCTCTTCGGCGGCGCTGCCCTCCGCGCAGCTCAGCTTGACGCCCTGCCCCTGCCTTGCTCCTCGGGCTCCGAGGAAAATTTAACGACATATCCATTAGCAAGAAAGTAAATCATTTTCCCACAGTAGCTGATCTATTGTGGACGTGTTGTATCTTCTCAGTCCTAGGTCATCTTACATTTCAAACATCACACTTTTCATCAAGCTCATTCGAAGCTTCTTCTAGATGGAAATTCACTTTCTTTTAAGGTATCGCCACCACGGCTGCAAGCTGAATTTGCACTGCCAGATCAGCACAAGGGGAGACAAACAATTTGACCTTGTCTTCTATTTCAAATAGTTACCAAGGTATTGTTCTGGATGAGAATCTTTAGCCAGATAAATACCCCTCTGCGGGCCAACCGCTGTTCTCCTCCCCCTTTCTGTATACCGAAATCTTCACACGCCGTAAAATCAGTTATAAGCAGAGTACTCCGTTATAATGGTGGTGGTAGGTGTTACGGAAATGCCCAGGACAGCTGCAGATGCGATCACAGGGTCACATAATTCATGCTTTTATTTAGTGACTAATCATACATACCTCCACCGTTATCTTGCTGTACAAATATTAAGACTGCAAGCGCAAGCGTGTGTGTCTGTATAAAACAATGACGTTCGGTGCTAAGGTCTTAGCGGGGAGAACAAGAAGCTGTGAGTTTTATGCTGTTTTCAAACATTTAAACCTTTTCATTCGTTCCTAAAATAAGGATTTGAGTCCGACAGAGAACCATCAAAAGTACCAAATGAAAATTAACCAGTCCGGGTACAAACTGACCTTGCGTTGCACAGCAATGATAACGAAAGCAAGGACTACTTAGTGGGAGTAGTTATCAAAAATAATTATTCATTCTCAATGAATGACTAAGCAGACCATACTAAGAGTTTTACATTTTAAAAGTAAGTTTGTTTACTTTTTAAAGCTCATAAAACACCACCGAAGTTCTACAGAATTTTATTAATATTTGGGAACAAAATTTCCTTTTGCCAGCAAAGCAATCAGAGAGCCACAAGGAAAAGCCAAAATAACGAGGCGAAAAAGAAAAGGACTGCAGAAGCCTGTTAACTTTTAAGAATTTTGAAGAGCCTAGCACAGTTTAAACTGTGTGCCATCCAGTAGACTTACCGTGACATTGTAATTGATGCAACCCATTTGCCACTAACTGTGAGAGAGGGACATCTGCTTATAAATTCACTTTGGAGACTAGAAACACTCGGAGACTTCCCGAAGTCAAATTAAAGTTAAGAGACATAATGATCTGGCAAGACTTTCCCAGCCATTAAGTCACCATCCATCGTACCTGAGACAAGCGAGTGCTCCCTAGCCGAACGCCCGGGCAGCGCCCTGCCTGTTTCTGCCAGCCCAGCTTCCCAAAGGGTGCTCTAATTTGGGCTGCTAATTATAAAAGCAGACTATTAAGGCGAACCGAAAGTCAGGCTTTTTTCCACTGACAGATGAGTTAGAGGGTTGAGGAAGGGCACCACGATGCACACGCAGAACTTCTGGTCCTGTGCAGGCATATGGCAAATATTTCCCAGCTAACAGTTCCAGTTTGAATTAAAATAGCCTGACTTTTCCTGCAGTATACAGCTCAAAAAAAAAAAAAAAAAAACAACAAACCCTTTAAAGCCAATTTCTGGTCAGTTTGCCTGTTGGTTTGGGGACATTTCCACAGCAACAGCAGTTTCTTGGTCCAGCGGGACTCTTGGGGCCACGTGGATGCAAACGTGAAGAGCTCTGGGTTTGTTTTTGTTTCCTCTAGCGACATGCCACCGCAGGTGTCACTCAGTGAAACCGCCCCCAGCAGGTCCCAGCCAGCAGACACTGATGACAGCAGGCCCACATCAGTTCACTTTAAAGGAATCTCAGGAAATGGAAGAGGTAGTAGAGGGGCTGGAGAATAATTTTAAATTTCGGCTCCAGCTCTCTTGGAACATCGGTCCCAGTAAAGCCAGGAGCCAGGCAGCACAGCTGGGTTTCATCCTTTATTGTAATACCAAAGGCAGGTTTAAAGAAACTCTGAGAGCTTATTGAATGCTTTTTGGAACAGAAATCCTGTTTGTCAGACCCAGCTCCTCGGGGGGGTGAGGTGCGGGGCAGGGTGGGATCTGCCAGGGCTAAAATATTGCCCGTGGACCAGCAAAACCAGCCCCTGGCCTCGCTTGGCATCCCGCAGCTCCCCGTACCGCATGAACTTGGCCTTTGGGGCAGTTTATTTCAAGCCAGCAGAGTTCGGTGGCTTAAACTTCTCCAGGTTTGCTTCTCCTTCGGGTTTCTTTCACATCGAATTCTTGTAGTTCGCCAGCTTTAGGCACCATCACGCTTTTCTATTATCTACCCAAGTCCATGTACTTTTCCCCCATTAATTCACCTGGCACCTTTGTGCTGAGACAATCCAGCTATGATTTAATAAGCTTTAGAAAGATAGTACCGGTTCCTATGCAGGAAATCAGATTTACATAATTTTCTACTCGCTTTTATAGCCACCGTAGTTCAAATTATCTTTACGTTGGGGAAACTCTTTTAATGTGATAAAATGAAATACCACCTACGCTGTGCTTCAGCTTGCTTAGCCTGGTTTTTGTAATAAATTAAATGTTGATTTGTCATACCAACTTAGCAAAGTTCCGTTTTAATGAGAAGAGAGTGCTCTGTCCTGCAGTTAGTCATGGTTATAAGTCACTAAACTAAGCTTCAAAATCAAACTTCATCTTGTAATTTTTATTTTTTTTTTTTAAATTACCTGAACCTTTCTGCAGGGTGGGGGGGGGGGGAAA